AGAGCTCCTCCAGGATTCTGATTGTTCTGTGCTCCTGAGAAATTTACAAAAGGAAGGCTAGAATCAGGAAGAATTGCTACCCCCTTGAGGGTTGAGGAGTTGAATAATCAAATTGCCACCCAGTAGCTAGTTTCTTCAAAAGATGGCGCCACTGCAGTAGTAGGCAGATTGGGAAAGAATATCAGAATTTGAAGTGCCACCAAGCCAGCAGGGAATTTATCATATTTTTTCTTCTTCAGGTATCTCCAACCTGATCTCAACATAGTCAAAATCTGGAAGTCAATCCTGTAAAACTGACAGAGACCCAGAAAAATCCCTTTCGTTTTGACTTGAGGAGCAGAAATAAGAACTCTTAAAGCTCAGAGATGGAGAGAATCATCCTGAGTTTTGTATTTCCCTCCCTTTTCCTTTTTCTCCATTCACTTCCACCTCAGGATCTTGTGCTGGAGGTAGTGGCAGCAAAGGAGCTAGCATGGAAAACTGCAGAAGCCAAAATTCTGAGGGAATTTTTCATTTGGTATAGCTGCAGTTCCAAGAGGCAGAGCCAAACAACTCTCCCCAAGCTCCCACCCTCCCCCTTTCCTGTCCTTTAGTCATTTGGACCCCAGATGAGACTTAATCACTGAAGTGAGTGGTTTGGGGCTGATGGGCTGAATAAAGGAGGCCCAAGGACCCAGAAAGTACTAGGGAGGTAGGAGAGAAGGAAGAGATTAGGAAATGGATCCCATAAAACTGTTTGGAAACATCTGGGCTAATCTGGAACCTGTCATGGTGGCTCTGCTCCTAATTAGCATTCCAAAGACTATGAGGACTGAGCTAACAGATAGACCTCTTACCAGGTCTCAGATTAATCAATAGGTGACACACTCACAGGACAGTTCTGAACACCATTTAAAGCCTTTGAAACTTGAACTGACATTATTACCACAGCACACAAAAAGTGAGCTGGAACTTACTGCTTGAACCTAACCAGGTCAAGGGCCTGCTAAGATAAAAATATAAACATTCTATCTGGGATTTAAACAAGACCCCCAAGTCTCATAAAGTGATATTCAAAATATCCAGGACACAATCCAAAATTACTTGGCATTTGAAGAGCTATGAAATTCTCAAAAGATAATCAATAGATGCCAATGATGAGATAGAGCACAGATGTTGGAATTATTTGACAAAGACTTTAAAACAGATATTATAAAAATTCTCAAAGGAAGAATTGTAAATAAGTTTTGAAACAAGATTAAAATAGAAAGTTAAAATAGAAGATATAAAGGTGAACCAAATGGAGATTTTAGAACCAAAAACACATTAACCAAATTGAAAAATTAATTGGAAGGACTCAATAGCAGAATGAAGATGACAGAAAATGGAAATTATGCCAGATTAATGGAAATTATTTGGAGAGAAGAAGGCATGTGATGCTAGAAAACAATCTGAAAAAAATAATAGTTGAAAACTGCATCTTTGGAGAAAGACAGATAACTATAAATTTTAGAAGTGGAGCAAATCCCAAATAGGATAAAATCAAATAAATCCATGCCCAAACACATCATACTCAAATTCCCAAACCATCAATGACAAAGAAAAATTATTGAAACAGCTAGAGAGAAACAATGCATTGTCTCTAGGAAAATAATGATTTGGTGACAATGATTCTCTCGTTAGAAACTGCAGAGGTCAGCCCCCGGAGTGGCTTCATTGGTTGGAGTGTCATCCCGTGCACTGAAAAGTTGTTGGTTCGAATCCTAGTCAGGGCACATACCTAGGTTGTGAGCTCAGTCCCCAGTTGGGGCATGTATGGAAGGCAACCGATTGATGTTTCTCTCTCACAACTTTCACATTGATGTCTCTCTCTCTCTCTCTGTCTCTCTGTCTCTCTGTCTCTCTGTCTCTCTCTCTCTGTCTCTCTCTCTCCCTCCCCCTCCCTTTCTCTCTTTAAGCACCTCCTTGGGTGAGGATTAAAAAAATAAAACAAAACTGTAGAGGTCAAAAGGAAGTAGAACAACATTTTTCAAGGTTGAAAGAAAAGAACTGTCAGCCCAGAATTCTATATACAGCAAAAATATCTTTTGGAAATAAAAGTAAAATAAAGACATCCTTAGATGAAGGAAAGCTAAGAGAATTTGTACCCACCAGACCTACTTTAAAAGAATTGCTAAAGGGAATTCTACAAATGAAAGAAACTTGGAACATCAAAATAAAGAAAGAGCAACAGAATTGGTAAATATTGGGGTAATTATAGGCTATTCTTCTCCTCTTGAGTTTTTTAAATTATGTCTTATGGTTGAAAACAAAAGCATAATATTGTCTGATGAAGTTTTCAGTATAGATAAATGTGATGAATACCTCTAACATAAAGAGGGGCAAGGTAAGGGGAACTTTATGTTTTTAAGGTTTCTCTATTCTAATTGCAATGACAAAATATTGCTTATAGATAGATTGTGAAAAGTTAAGAATGCATTTATAATCTCTAAAGAAACCACTAAAAAATTACACAGAGATGCTGTCAAAATCATAGTAGACAAATGAGAATAGAAGATGAAGACCAAACCTGCTGCTGGGATCTCTTTGACCCCTTGCCCTGCGATTCCTCCTCCCCTCAGTGATTAAGGGGCCCTTATTCCACATACCCGAATCCCTACCCTTACAACTTGCCCAGGTATTTAAGCTCCCCAGACCTTGTCCCAAGGCCCGGAACATGTTCCCAAACCTGGTAGGGGTTAAGGTGACAGGAGAGAATTGATAGAAGACATAAGCGCTGAGGAAACCCTCAAAGGATAAGTGAATAGGAGGGAGATGAGGGTGGGGAAGAGTGCAGGGGGACAGTGTGAACAGAGACTCGGAGGAAGGGACATCCATGGGGGGTAAAATATGACAGCAGGAATGGTGACATATGGGGTCAGCATGCAAGCAGGGGAAAATCAAGGATACTTCCCCACTACCTTTTAAAGAGGTTGACTATAGCATTTATACCAAGCCAGTTAGAAGCACAGAAGCATTTGAAACTTCTGAAAGGCAAAATGACATGGACCCATTTGAACTTCAGTTTCAAATTTCCCCTGGCCTCTCTAACTTGGAGGCACATATGACTTAATAGTGATTATAAGAAGGGTTAGGAGGCTTTCTTCCTGCCTTCATTCAGACAATATTTGTTGAACTATTAGGTTCCTGGAAATGTTCTAGGTACTGTAAATAAATAAATGATAGACAAAATCTCTGCTCTATTTGGGAAAGCATACAATAAGCAATTATTCGATATGAAGCATTTCCAGGTGCAAAGGGGTTGCCCTAGTACACTGCTATGAACACAGGGGTCCATATATTATTTCCAATTGGTGTTTCTGATTTCTTAGGATATATTCCTAGAAGTGGGATACTGAGTGAAATGGTAATTCCCATTTTTAATTTTTTGAGGGAACTCCCCATACTGTTCTTCACAGTGACTGCACCAGTCTGCATTCCCACCAGCTGTGTAAGAGGGTTCCTTTTTCTCCACATCCTCTCCAGTACTTGTCGTTTGTTGTTGTTTTTTTATGATAGCCATTCTGACAGGTGTGAGGTGATACCTCACTATTGGTTTGATGTGCAACTCTCACATGATTAGTAACTTTTGTGAAAAATGGCTCACCTGTCCAAATTTCAAATGATGGACTAGGAAACATGGCGAAAATGAGACTTTTAATAACACTCTCAAGAGCGGGTGCCCATTGTACAGGAACACATGTGGGGCAGGAGACATAGCCTATTTATTTAGACCCTCCTCCAGTTCCTCATTGGCTGAGTACTATTTGGTCACCTATTTCCTAATAGGTCGCCTAGGTCTCGCTGTCTCCCATTGGGTTACTTAAAAAAAATGGGCTGGGGCCTTTTCTAGTTGCCCCCACCTCCCTTTGTCTAGGGGAATCTTCCTAGGACATGGGCTCTCAGCCATGTGTATAGCTTATACCTTCTCCCCACCCTCCACATCCTCTTTGCTCTGGGGAAATTCAGTAATGACCTGGCCACATGCTGTTTCTTTTCTATGAAGATGAATCATAGAGGCATGCTTCCTACACTTAGAGCATTTTTTTCATGTGCTTCTTGGCCTTCTGTATGTCCACTCTAAAGAAGTGTCTATTTAGGTCCTTTGCACATTTTTTGATTGGATTGTTTGTCTTCCATTTGTTAAGTCGTATGAATTTCCTATATATTTTGAAAATTAACCCCTTATCGGATGTATCATTGGCAAATATGTTCTCCCATGCAGTGCGCACTCTTGTCATTTTGTTGATTTTTTTTTTTTTTTTTGCTGCGCAAAAGCCTTTTATTTTGATGTACTAGTAGTCCCATTTGTTTATTTTCTCCTTACTTTTCATTTGCCCTAGGAGATGTATTGGTAAACATATTGCTACAAGAGATGTCTGAGATTTTGCTGCCTATGGTTTCTTCTAAGATTTTTATGGTTTCATGACTTACATTTAAGTCTTTTATTCATTTTGAGTTTATTCTTGTGTACGGTGTACGTTGGTGGTCTAGTTTCATTTTTTTATTTGTTCCTGTCCAATTTTCCCAGCACCGTTTATTGAAGAGACTTCCTTTACTCTATTGTATGCTCTTACCTCCTTTGTCAAATATTAATTGAGCATAATGGCTTGGGTCGATTTCTGGGTTCTCTGTTCTGTTCCATTGATCTGTATGTCTGTTCTTGTGCCAGAACCAGGCTGTTTTGAGTACAGTGGCTTTGTAGTATAACTTGATATCTTGTCTTGTGATTCCTCCAGCTTTGTTCTTCTTTCTCAAGATTGCTGTGGCTATTTCGGGGTCTTTTTTGGTTCCATATAAATTTTTGGAGAGTTTGTTCTAATTTGTGAAATGACAATAGATGATTTTAAAGGTAAAGACTGACATTTGTCAAGGAAGCTACAGGCCTCGGATGGGACTACCCTCCAGGACCCGCATTTAGTTAGGAATTTTTACATAGAGACTACCTGGTCCTGCCTCTTGTTCTGTTGTATTTCTCTGCTTCTGGGCCTGATCCCTCTGCCAAAATCATGCTCCATCAGATCCTCGGTCAGGCCAAGAAATATCCAAGCTTGATCCTCCACTTTGTATTTATTGGAGCCGAAAGTACTGGGGCAGCGCTGTGTATCTTGCACCTGGCATTGTTCAATCCAGATGTCTGCTGGGACAGAAAGGATAACCCAGAATCCTGGAACAAACTGGGTCCCAATGATCAATACAAGTTCTACTCAATGAATTTAGGTTACAGCAAACTGAAGAGAGAAGGTCCAGACTTCTTAATGAAATGTTTCACTGAACAGCTGCTTAGGATGAAGGTCTTCCAGAGGCCATCTGCACCATTGTCCACTTAACCGGGAACTATTTCCCCTCCAAGTGCTCGAAGACATGTTGGAGTATTGTGTTGGGGCTTACACTGATTAATAAATATCGGAAACTTCAAAAAAATAAAACCACCCTGTGTGGTTGCATTGGTCTCTGGGTTTTTAAGGCCTGCCATGTAGGCCTCCCCTGAGCTTGTTAGGTTTAGTATGTATCCCCTTTTCCATCTACACTTAAAACTATAGTACATTTCAAAAAGTTTTCAATGGTGTAGGAAAATAAGTGTAATTTATTATGCAAAAAGCCCAAATTTTCTATTTAGTAATTTGCAAAAAAAAAGAAAGTTAGAAAAAGGCTTTTGTACTTTCTACAATAAGCAGGCATCACTTTAAAATCAAATAAGCAACATGAAAAAACAATGTCTGAGAAAGGAGGGCCCTGGGTAAGGCTTTCTTCTTAGCCATCCCTATCAGCCTTCCAGCAAGGAGGTTAGGAAATTATTATCTGGGTTCTTTGGAAATGGCAAAGCTGAAGGTGATCTGGGACAAGGCGTAAGGTGGTTCCCCTGTTGGGTTGCTTGTTAGAGGTGGGAGAGCATGAGGAGAGGCCATGTCTTGTCTCGCTGTGCTCGCCTGCACCCCTCTGAGGGTGAGGGGAGCCCAGCGTGGCTCTGTAAGAGCTGCTCCCTGCCCCTCAGAGCTGCCATCTGTCAGTCCTGCTGTGAGGTATATTTTAAAAAATTATGTTGTATTGATTTTTAGAGAGAGAGAAGAAGGGAAAGAGAGAGAGAGAGAGAAACATTGATGGGCTGCCTCCTGCACGTCCCCTACTGGGGATGGAGCCTGCAACCCGGGCATGCGCCCTGACCAGGAATCAAACCATGACCTCTTGGTTCATAGGTGGACACTCAATCTTTGAGCCACATCTGCTGGGCTACACAAAGGGACTGAATAGGACGGTGGCTTCCCTGTGAGGGAGCGTCTCGCTGAAGAGAGAACAGATGGACAAAGGAGCTTTAGCGTGGACTGTTCAAGTGGAGAAAGGCCAGAAAGAGGAGGACATTGGAGGTTGTCTCTAAAGGGCAGGGCCCACCCAGGGCACAGAGTTCTCCAGGCCAGAATCAAGGCCGGCTTGACCTGCTTGGAGCTGGGGCAGCCATTCACCCTAGACTTTGCACAGGCTTATCAGGCATTAACTTATTGAGACAAGCACCCACCCTTAGAAAGAGGAAGTTTTCACATTTTAAACAGCTTGGCTTTAGCCCCACCTTTCCTCTGGTTTAAATCAAAGATGTGTGTTTCCCTTAACTATAACAACTGGCTTTCATTTTCTGTGCAAAGCTTTGTGGCTCTCAAAATCAGCACAGTTTATTTAGAATTCATAGCCGCAGCTTAAATTGGTCTGACAGGACATGGATTGGAATGACATTTGAGGGCTTGTGGTCTGGAGCGATGTATTGTTTTAGCTTAGAGAAAGAAATGAAATTTCCACTTGTAACTGGTGTGTTCTCTGTGCCTGGTGAGGAGTCACACCCGTGATTCCCTTCCATCGAGTAGGGGGCACCGATGAGCTCTCGCCTGCGTCCTGGTGCCCGAGACCCCTTCATTCAAGTTTGCAGACAGTTCTCTTTTGGGTGTGACCAACAAAAGCAGAGGGAAGTAACTGGGTGTAAGTCATCTGCCCGTCATTTTTAGGCCTTCGAGTTCATTCCAATTTTGGAAGATAAATGAAAATCCCTCCTGCATCTATTTATTTGCATAGCGCAGATGGGCCTCACCCAATTTCCTGAACTCAGCTCGACTCACCTCCCCCCTAATGCCCTATTATTCCATCAAGGCTAGAGCACTGGGCCAATTGTGTGACTGTAAAAGGATTAGGATGTGGATGTTCTTTCTTTTAGAGTTATCTTTGGATTCGGAGTTCTAAATTGCTTTACTTTTTCTGATACACTAATGAAAGATGCTCTAAAGCAGGAGTCCTCAAACTACGGCCCGCGGGCCACATGCAAATACAAATATTGTACTTGTTCCCGTTTTGTTTTTTTTTACTTCAAAATAAGATATGTGCAGTGTGCATAGGAATTTGTTCATAGTTTTTTTTTAAACTATAGTCCGGCCCTCCAACGGTCTGAGGGACAGTGAACTGGCGCCCTGTTTAAAAAGTTTGAGGACCCCTGTTCTAAAGAATGCTCTTTGGTACTGTCTCATATAGTCCCCTTAAAAGAAAAGTGGTTGAAGGGTAACACTAGCCATGCTATTCTTAAAGCTGGGTTCCCAGAGTGCCTTAGATTTCTTCATTTATTCTGATAAATGAGTAACCCCACTGAGTAAGGGCTCTCAATGAGGTCAGCCTGCCTTTTGCCTGCACAAACCCTGGGCACCAAACTAACCCTTCTTGAACCACTAACAGAGCATGCCTGCTTCAAGACTTCAAGTGTTTGGTTAAAGCTGCATCAATCCAGTGAGTCAATCGAACTGGCTTCATTTTTAAGACGTTCCCGAGTGCTGGCTTACTCCACTGGTTCCCATTTCCTGAGGATGTGATTCATTCATACCCTGCGGAGGGGAAAGAACAACATCTGAAAACACACATACGGACAAGTGGATGAAACTCTACTTTTCTGGCAAACCTGTCTCTTGCATTTCTCTATGTGTCCAGTGTTGGAGATGACGTTATTGAGGCTGCAAATGGGAGCGTGAGGACAGCTCCCTCCTGCCCAGCCCAAGGCCCCAAGAAAAGAGAGACTTTCTGCTCAGTGAAGACAGGCATAGGGCCTTTTTGGAGTTGGGGACATATGTTTCCTGACTGAGGATTCGCAGCTAAAGCCACGTTTCTGTGTCCTGCCCCAAAGCCGTCCATGGGGACCCCGGGCAGCTGGGGTGGGGCCTGCTCTGGAATCCAGTCTCCTCACGGTCTTCCTTCCCTGGCTCCTGGCTCCAGCGTTGTGTTTCCTTCGTAGGCATGGCGTCTATTCCTTTGTTTAGAGAACATTCCAGTCTACAGGAAACCTCTGTGCCACATAGGCGTTATTTTCTCTGACTAGGAAGTTTTATGGCAGCCAGATGCCTTGTGCTGACGTGCCCATTTTTATGTATTCTGTAAGAATGCTTGGCTCCACCTCAACCTGGAATTCAACTTGATTTAGTCATACCCATGACTAGGTTCCATTCATTCATTCATTCATTCATCCATCCATCCATCCATCCATCCATCCACTCCCTTATATATTCCACCAATATTTGTTAAGTGCGAGCTATGGGCCAAATACTTATTCAATGATTCATTTATATGAAGACATTTTATTTACTGGAATTCTGGGAGGGACTGGGAATGACAGCGTGGCCCCCAGGAGAGAAGCAGGCAGAGGAGGACAGGGCTAGATGGGGCTTCCCCAAGGCTCAGGGTGCAAGGTGACAGCTGGAGTGGGGCTTCTGGAGACCAGGGCATAGGCCCGTCTGGCTCTGTGAGAACGAGAGGGCGCGCTTCCCCCCAGGACCCTAGTTGGTAAGTATACTCTGTTTTACCTTCTGTTTTGATGTCTTTCATTTAACATTATTTTTTATTTATAATAAAAATCCTGTATTTATTTTCATGGCCACATACTTTCCATTGTAATGGTCACTTGGGTCTTTATTTTTTGGTCACTTGATTCTTTAGAGATCAGCTCAAATACCATTTTTAATTCAAATTTAAAGAAATCATCAAATTTTGTTTTGTTTTGTTAATCCTCACCCGAGGATATTTTTTCCATTGATTTTTAGAGAGAGTGGAAGGAAGGAGGCGAGATAGAGAGAGAGAAAAACATTGATGTGAGACACATGCACCCTGACCAGGGTTGGGGATCGAGCCTGCAACCTAGGTACATGCCCTTGACCAGAACCGAATCTGGGACCCTTCAGTCCACAGGCCAACACTGTTCCAAACTGGCTAGGAGAAGCCTCAAATTTTACCCAATCTAAATTCTGTCTGCCAACTCAGAGTTGCCAAAATATTTGAACTTAGAATTATCTGGATTTGGTGCTTCTTTTCCCAAGAAAAGTTAGGAAAACACCAATGTACAGGATTTCCCCTGCCTCCTCCCCATGAAGTTTCTTCATATCCAGGTATTTTCTGGGGGCCCCACAGGCTCCTGGAATCTTCATCAGTCCCTCCAAATGACCTGAAATAAGTTACAATCTTAGTCCCCCGGTGTGCACAGCAGCTTCAGGCAAGTCCCCACGCCAGCATTTACACCTAAGACCCTCCAGCTTGGAATTTCTGAAGCTTTCCCTTTGCATAAGGACAAGCGTGCCTTGGCAGCATGCCTCCCCGTTCAGCGCTCCCCATGGCAGGTGAAATAGCTTCCATGAGTACCAACTCTGCTCTCCTGCCCCCGGGCTCCTGCCCCTGCCCTCTCTGCACCTACTCTTGTCTTTTTAGATCCTTGTCACCTTAAAATACTTTCTCGAGTCCCTCTAGGGCAGAGGTGGGGAACCTTTTTCTGCCAAGGGCCATTTGGATATGGCTGCGCACTCCGTGGGACTAAGATTATAACTTATTTGTAACATCATTCCACTTAATATAATTCACTTAATATACATTTATGTCCTATGAAAAAAGCTCCCAGATTTATTGAATTTTGAGTCCCGCCTGTGGATGCGTAGGCAGGGCCAGACCAAATGACTTTGACGGCCTTATAGAGCACATGGGCTGGAAGTTCCCCAACCCTGCTCTAGAGCAGCGGTTCTCAACCTGTGGGTCGCGACCCCTTTGGGGGGTTGAACGACCCTTTCACAGGGGTCGCAAGACCCTTTCACAGGGGTTGCCTAAGACCATCGGAAAACACATATATAATTACATATTGTTTTTGTGATTAATCACTATGCTTTAATTATGTTCAATTTGTAACAATGAAAATACATCCTGCATATCAGATATTTACATTACGATTCATAACAGTAGTAAAATTACAGTTATGAAGTAGCAACGAAAATAATTTTATGGTTGGGGGTCACCACAACATGAGGAACTGTATTAAAGGGTCGCGGCATTA